CAATATTTCCTGCTTTTAAAAAAATAACGAAAATAACAAATCATTGGACCTCTTCATAGTTTCTGAGATAGACAACGCGTTGGAACGAGAATAGTTATTTACCTTTGTCTCGCGGAAGTCGTTCGTCTTGAGATAACATAGGGTAACAAACCCATAGTTAATTGAGTGGAATGGTGATGAACCCGTCAGACTCCTTTGTTATATGTTTTTGTGGACCTGAAAGTGCTTATATTAGTTGTATTGGCGATAGAAATGAACAACATTTATACCTAATGTAAAGCGCTCATAGAGCAAGAAGGTTTTTTTGCAGCGGTTTTCCCATATTCACTTTTCATACCGAGTAGTATATATCCACGGTCTAGCCAAATGTCCTCTATGTCACGCAAATATATAAATACATTGGGTAATAATTTTGTCAATGCAGACAACCGTTCGAACTTTTTTTAGCCGTTCAGCCGTGATTACCATCCGTTCGAAGTTTTTGACGAGCCGTTCAGCCGTTCAGGACCATCCGTTCGAAATTTTACTCCTGCCGTTCAGCCGTTCAGGTCTACCGTTCGAAAATTTTTTTTGCCCGTCCAGACGTGATTACCATCCGTTCGAAATTTTTCGCTAGCCGTTCAGCCGTCATACCAATCCGTTCGGAATAAATTATTAGCCGTTCAGCCGTTCGGTTTCATCCGTTTCAAACGGCTTCGTGGGCCGTTTCTTACCCGTTCGACAGCCGTGCGTTTCACCCGTTTAACGGAAAGCCGTTAGTGTACGTTTTCGCGTGAGAGGTCACATTAATAATTGTTTTCGAATGCCGGTCATTTGCCGCAGATTTACCTTTGGACAAGTTGCAGAAATTCTACAATAATTTTATTATGGCTGTTTCCAATTGAACGGGCCATGAACGGGTGAGTTTTTTTCGCCACGCAGAATATAAACAAACTTGTCCTAGACAAACAACAAAAAAAAGAGCTATTAAACGCTTTGCTATGGCCATCACAAATGGAAAACGTGAATAGAAATAACGTTAAAAAGCTCAAATCACGATGAATAAATTTGCAGCGGTAAGTATTTTTGAATATCGAATTATGAATGAAAGTAAAGCTTGCATCATATAGCAGACCGTTTCGAAACTAATAATTGCGTAGCGTCACGTCGCCAGAGAAAACTTCGAGATGTCACGCTTGTCGTGATTCTCACCCGTGCTGGCAAACGAGCAACAAACCGTCGCTTCATAAAACTATGCCATAGTTGTACACTGTTCTTTGCAAAAAAATCTAAGGCCTTTTAAAAAATGACGAGAGTTTTGTTTCTCGAAAAATAAATCATCAGATGCTTGACTGAGTAGATGTTGGTCACGTGCTAGGCAACGAGTTTTGCAAGTGACTCAAATTTCATTCGCGATCAGAAAGATCAGAAAGTGTTACTGGTAAAACCCTTTTCTCTTCGTTTGGTAGACTGTTTCCCGTGATTCTGACAGCGGGTCATTAAACGAGTTAAATCGCCACTTCCACCAATAGTTTCTTAGTAGTTTACCTGGGATCAGAGGAACACGTTTTCGACTCAACAATTGCGGTGAAACAGTTGTTTACACAAGACAGTATTAATTTTTGTCGCTCTGTCAGACTTTTGTCGGTCGGTTCTGAATTTCACGCTTGGTTCGAGATCAATGTTACGTTACGGCAAGAAAGCAACGAAGCACGGCTGGAACAAGATTTCGCAAACTACCATTTCGTGTCTTCGTTTCGCAAACGACCGACCACAAGGCACTGCATAAGGCCATCTGAACAGCGTAAAATTAATTATGATCCAAGGCCTTTGAATGAACGGTTCCAACTGATTGAAGTTTTGAACGGGTGGATAATTTTTCTGAACGGATGACCAAGTCGTTCGAACGGATTCAAATTTTTCTGAACGGGTGTCACAGCCGTTTGAACGGATAGACAATTTTTCTGAACGGATGGCACAAGCCGTTCGAACGGATGGATGATTTTTGTGAACGGATGACCAAACCGCTCGAACGGATGCAAATTTTTCCGAACGGGTACACTAGCCGTTCGAACGGTTGGGCAATTTTTGTGAACGGATTACACAGCCGTTCGAACGGCTTGACTTCCTTTTTAAACGGATCGCCCAAGCCGTTCGAACGGATGCCAATTTTTTCTGAACGGATGAGAAACGGCTTGTGAACGGATTTCCGTTCGAAAACGGGAAGCCGTTAGTGTACGTTTTCGCGTGAGAGGTCACAATTATCACTAATCTGCAGTAATCTAATTTTTTTAGCCTAAAAAAAGTGGAAGTTTAAGTCATAATAATATTGCAATAGAAAAAAGGAACGGAAATTAGATTACAAATTATCTTTTAACAGAAATTTAACAAATGTTTAGGCACCGATTCTTACGTAATTTGTCATGTTGTCATTATGCAAAATAAACATCTGTAAGAGGGGAAAATTAACCCCGGCATATCCTGGATTTACCACTGAAAAGAATAACTCTAAGATTTTGAACGTACCTTTTGTAACCTATGCTTATCCGTAACAATATTTCCTCCTTTTAAAAAAATAACGAAAATAACAAATCACTGGACCTCTTCATAGTTTCTGAGATAGACAACGCGTTGGAACGAGAATAGTTTTTTACCTTTGTCTCGCGGAAGTCGTTCGTCTTGAGATAACATGGGGTAACAAACCCATAGTTAATTGAGTGGAATGGTGATGAACCCGTCAGACTCCTTTGTTATATGTTTTTGTGGACCTGAAAGTGCACAACGTTCAAAAGAATTCCTATCATTTTGATTGTATTGACCAATAAAAACGTTGCATTAATTTATTCCGTAACAATTTGCCAACAGAAAACAAAGGATTGTGTACTTTAAGGGTGCTTTCAACATAAACTGCAGCACTGTTGTTTTTATCACTGATGTTTGCCGCTTTTCATAACCAGTCTCCTCTAATAACTATGAACAAACCTATGTTGAGGTCGCTATGAAGGAGAAATACGGCGAAAGAGGATAATTCCCTTGAATCGCAAACTTTATGGCGAAATATTAAATTAAGTCGAGGTTGGACAATTAAGAGGACCACACTGAGTCTACACAATAAAGGTTTTTACCCGCAAGGTTCAAATGCGATTAGAGGCCATACCGGTACCGAGTCCTTGAAATTTCTTTCTTTTTTTCGGCTTTGAGGAGTATAACACACTGGCTAAGCAGAATTCTAACGATCGTTGCGTGGTCTTATCAGGGGCACCCAACGGCAATTTTCGGGAAAATATCTGTTCGGAAGACGATTTGAGAACTAGAATTTTCGGAGCATTTGTTGTAAAACTTCTTGCTTGCCTGCCTCTCTTAGGATTTTCGAACATCTACAAAATGGTATAATTACTCATTTTTAACGGATTTTGACCCTAAAAAAGGCCACCTAGAATTTTCGGGAGCCTTTTCCTGGCTGAAATTTTTGAGAAGGTAAGTTTTTATCCCTATAATTTTCGGATCACTAGATTTTCAGCTAGGAAATCCGAACAGATGAAAAGTTTTTAGGGGATAAAAATATGCCTCTATCTACCGTTTGAATACTAAAATACGTTCAACAATGCTATGTTAAGTGGTTTTGAACTATATCCTCGTTGGGTGCCCCTGTCTTATGCGAACTAAATTGTAATTAAGTATCCTGATTACAATTGTCGGATCTCAGTATAATTGTCTTGGTTTGGGTAAATGAAATTCAGCGTATCAATATTTCAAGCATTCAAAAGTAAGAGGAAAGTATTTGTCTTTTAATACTTTGGTTAATTTCTCGACGAAAACACTGCTTCTAATAAAAGCCATGAAAATTTTGATTTTAAGCAAATATTCAGACGTTATAAGCAACCTAAATATGCATACAAGGGAATAAAAAAATGTGCGGACTCGATAAATTGAATATTGAAATGCAAATCTGAACAACTTGTTAATGCCACATAACTAACTCGCAACTGTTTTCAATTAATATCTTTTGCTTCATTGCTCGCTCTGTAAAGTGGCCAGGGTGAAGCCGGTAAATCCTTTGCTGTAACAAGCTAAACCTCAGTAGGGCAAGATGGAACCTTCCTGCCTGCTTGTTTCGATGTAATGTGTGTCTTCGTAAGACTTAATCATCTAAGTATGGAAAGGAAAAAAAATACAGCTTTCTGTGGTCGAGATTCGCCCTAGATTATCTTTAAATCAAAATATTAACTTTTGTTGTGGCGGGGGTAAATAAAATAATTTTTCGGATTCAAAATAATTCAGTAATTGACTTGCATCATGGAAATGATGAAGTCGGCTATCAATTTCGTGGCGGAGACCTCACCTAATAACTGTCCGTGAAATTTTGGGCCACATAAAACAAATGATATAATCTTCGTTTGGTTTATTTTTTATTCAAAATTATAAGTGCTCTAGGTTCACACAAATTCCCGTATTCCTCAGTGGGATGTTGTGTTTTTTGCCTTTATTATATATAGTATAAAATGTCCTGACAGATTAACTGGAAGCGTTTCAAAGTTAAAATTTTAGGTCCTAAAATTATTACTTGAAAATATGATTTTAGGACCTAAAGGAAACAGAAGAACAGAGGAACCTCTTCCTCTGCATTTTTCAATACATTGCCATGGTAGTGGTGACAGTGCAGTGATTGGACCCACGTGCCTACCCTTCTAAGTTTCCGCATAAATCTTACAATTGACTTACCTCAAAGATTTTTACCCCCTACCCCCACAAACAAAGCAAATGAGATCTTCTAAACACGTAAAAACAAGTTGGACTATATTGCCACGTATTGCTAAGAGGTATAATGTTCAACAGAGTGGATTTTTCTTCATTTGAAGCAAGATGTGTACCAAGCAAGAAGTCCGTGTGCAGTTGTTGTCGGCTTTCTTCTTCGTAGCTGCACTTTCTTACCAAGACGTTGAAGGTATAAAAGAGAATATTCATCTCTGTATTTTGTTTTTACACTTATTTTTATTATTTTTACTTTTTTGTATTTCCCAGCCCTGAGTATCAAAACTGGAATATGCAAGGTCACCATTACTACTCCTGGTCTGTTTGCGTGTGAAAAGGTTTCCTTTGAGAAGCCTTTCAATGGCGGGCAGGATGTGAAAGTTTTCGTTTCCAAAAGCCACACAACAAAGTGTTATGGTGGTGGAGATGGCGCGGCTATTTGGGTGGAATCTGTGGATAATAAAGAATTTACAGTTTGTGTTTTGGAGTACGGAGATGGTTCTAGTGGGGCTGCGAAAGTGAACTGGATGGCGCTGCAATCTGTTCCTGTTGACGCTCAACTAGACACAGTCCCGTTGGATTCTTGGACTACTGGAGAAAAGTGTAAAAGGATCGCCTTTGAAAAGGTTACCTCTGTTTCCCCTTGCGTTTTCGTTAAGTTAATAGTTCTTACTCATTTACTAGGTATTTCTGTTTGCTCAAACCTAGACACAAGATTTCACTACGTCATTTTTTAAGCTTTGCTTGACTAAGTCGCTTTAACTTCCTCTTTCTTTATTTAGCTCGTAGGAGCTGCAGACTTGCCATTTGTAGTCCTCCTTATATCTTTAAGTCATGCGATATAACATTGTTGCATCATAAAATTCGATTCTTTATTTGTTTACCAAGATCTGACATATATTGCTACCTCTATTTTCTTCCATCAAAGTTATCTTGCAATCTGTCCTCCACTTTTCTTGATCATTTCAATTTTTTTATTTACATTAACACTTCTTTAAAAAGGTTTAACAATCTTCATATTTTTGCTAATTTTTGCTCTAAAAAATTTAGTGAGAAAGTCTATATTTCGATTCCTTTTGTGACTACGTTGCCAAGTTCATGATTATCATTTTATTTGCTGATTTGCAAATTCTGTGTTTTTTTCGTAAGACTGTTCTTAGTTTTTCATCTGCACTAGGAAATTCCATCCAATTTGCTTCTTTCAAGTTGAAAATGATTTTTTCTGTCACACTTCCATCGTTTTATATCATACCCTTGTTTGTTTGAAAGATAAATGTAATTGATTATTTATTTCCTTCTCTTTTACTTTTTCAGCGTTTCTCAATTCCTCCGAGCATCTACGTAACAGCTCGTCACCAAATTCTCAAGAGACCTCAGGACGCCTTGGCATTGTGGGTAGAGGATGTACGCAGAGACAGTTTTAAGGTTTGCCTCAGGGAAACTAAGATTTTTGATGGTCTGCATAAAAACATCAAGGTGGTAAGTGAATTCCTTTTGTTACCTGTTACATGTTTGAAAGTAGACTCACGCGACAACCAAGCGGTTCCTCCCTTGCTGCAACTTACAGGGGCTGTGCCCTAGCAGAACCCAGTTGCCTCTGAGCTCTACCTTTGCTCTTTGCCTACTAGGAAATCGTAGCTTTTTTCATCCTATCCTAGATCCTATGTTGGCTACCCTATGTTGGGTACCCTGTGATTTACACAGGAACAGAGCAATGGGCTCCCAGTCTCTTAGAAACAACCTTGACTTGAGAAAGAATATATTGATAACATTGTTAACACTTTTTCACTTGTCCTTCAGGATTGGATAGCATTTGTTAAGCTGATGACGCTGAATTCTACCTTGATCAATGGCGTTGTAACAACAAAGAATAACTCACCACTAAACAAGCAACAAAGCAAGGCCCTCTGTCAGGTAAAGTAACTAATAAACTATACTGTTTTGGTTTCTCAGTCACTTATATTAATAAACAGAAAATATCGTCAACTATTTAAACAACATATTATCGTCAACTATTTAGACAACATATATCATATACCGCATATGTGTAGAAAAACTTAATAACGCTGATTCTTTTCTTGTTTTTTTTTTAGATAATAAAGTTCACTGATGCTTTCTATGCCCCTCCGATAGTAATGGTTTCACCAAGACTCAGTTACCATAACAACAACTCCCGTTTCTCGGCTTCTGGAACTTGTAACGCAGTTACTGCGTGGATTCAGGTAACATATGAAACTTGGAGCCATTTTTCTTAGCCCATTGCGTCCTTAGGCTGCCTTCTTATCTCTTCCCTTCGAACTTACTTTTAGCATTGTCTCTGTTTCAATTTTTCACGTCGTTTAAGGAGTCCAAAAAAGTTTTTTTTTTGTCTTCTTTTTTCACAATTTTTCCAACCAACCTGTGCACGCCACGGTTTCGCTTTGTAAACGACCTTTGGTAGTGACCTAGCAGTTAAGGTAAGAAAATACCTGATGATGCTTATTAATGATTGATAATCTAATACTTCTAATGATTGTGTCTAGCATACCTTTACAAACGAAACCGAGGTGTGTATGAGAAGATACAGCAATAACGCCAATAATAAGGACATCGTACAACTGGATTACCTGGTGATTGGAGGTACGATATATCAAAACCTTGGTGAAGGCTGTATGCTGCAGTGTATCAAGTACATTTTATGACATGAATATTTTGAAGTTGTTTCATGCAGGGCTTTTTTTCTCTAATTGATGCTATTTTTTTGTTGTCTCTATTTTTGGGGATTGTAGATTTGGTTGACTGAGCTGAAAAACGGGATCATATGCATTCTTATCCTTTTCTTAGAGTCGCCAGTGTTGTTGCATCTACCTGCAATGCATCTTATTGGCATCTTAAAGCAGTTTCAGCTTGTAAATTGGACGAAATTCTTGTAGAATCTATACTTTTTTTCTTCTATCTAAAGTCACGTGTTCCTTAATTTACGTTACAGTTTCTTAATATACGTTAGAGCCCCTTTGTTTCCGGGACGCATCCGAGTGAAGACTTGCACGAATGGTGTGCCAAAGTGGCGGTAAATTTGAACGTGTCAAAAAATTCTCTTTAATAACATTGTGTTCAAAGCAATTATTTTTTTTTCTCCACGTTCTCATAGTAATGTGCATTTTCAATTCTAAAAAGACAACTTTTTAAGTTATGGGCGCTTTAAATCCATCTGTTGTTATTTGCTTAATTATCTTCAGACTTGGATCCCTGCATAGACGTTACGTGTTATTATCACAGCTTCTGTAAGGCGTTTGGACCCCATGATGCACGCTGTGTATGTGTGGATAGCTGCCCATCTTACAAAGAACCCGTTTGCTCATCAAATGGCACAACGTACGACAACAGATGTTTGTTTGAAAGAGAAGTTTGTCAGCATCGACTAAACTTAACCGTGCAACATCCTGGCAGCTGTGAAGGTTAGTACAATTGTTTTTGAATCTGTTAAAAAGTGATTTTTCTTTTTATTAGATTTCAGTATTAATCCCTTAGTGAATTTTTCGAATGAGTTATTTACTTACCCATGTAATCTGGAGGGAAAAACGGCGATAGATGCATGACTTTATGGAAGTACAGAATTTTACGTAATTTTGCTAAAACGTTTGTCATGCACAGGAGCAATGCTAATAAGAATACTGGTCAGAAAAAGTGGCGGATACACTTATATTTAAGCATTTTCAGTTAATACTCAACGAAAATATATTTTTTTTATATATATGTATCACTGAAAGAAATTTAAAAGTGATTCTTGTCGCTGAGATTAGTAGTGTAGTAGTAGTAGTAGTAGCAGCAACAGCAGCAGCAGCAGCAGCAGCAGCAGCAGCAGCAGCAGTAGTAGTAGTAGTAGTAGTAGTAGCAGTAATCTTTTGCATTTCGTACCCGGACGTCGCTCTGCCTAACATATCTGGATAACCTATCCTAGAGTTATATTTTTCAAGCATAACTGGAACTGAATCTTTTCTTTGCGAGAAGTAGTAGTTACAGTGAATGTTCACTTTCCTTTCCTTTAGCGCTTATAGGCTTGACCATTTGCCACCGTGTAGCTCTGCTCAGGATGCAAGTTCTAATCTCTCCACTGCTTGCCATGCTATTTACCTAATGCAGTGACAAGCGATACATTGTCCGGTGTGAAGTTTCCCTGGACTTCTATAGTAGAGAGTAACAACCCTCTTTATTAGAACCACTCATTTGCTGCTCTGTTAACATTTTTAAGTTCTGGGTAAATGCCCTTTGCTCCGCATGTTTGTCATACTAATCTATAGTTCATCTTGAAATGTGTTTTCTAGGATTTCCTTTTCAGCGTGGTCGTCGCCACATGCCACATATTCCATCCTTGGGCTACTCTCACTGTCATGCCATTCATTTCAAACCGTTTGTGTTTTACCCTGACAAACCCATTCAAGTGCAGATAACTGTCAATCATATGGATACCAGTGACAAATCGTATGTCCATGACGCGGCAGTATCGTGGGTTGAAAATGTGAATAACGAGGGATTCACTGCTTGTGTGATGGCGGCAGGATATAATGAACGAAAGTCGTATGCTAACGTGACAGTTGATTGGATGGCGTACCAAGGTGCTCCAGTGGGTGGCGTGACTGGTAATGTGCGCATGTCACAGTGGTGGACTGGTACGACTTGTGCGACTGTCAGGTTTCCTACAGTGAGTGGCCTTTGTTGGGCTTTCTTGTCCTTTCCATTCTTTTCAAGATCATATATTTGAAACGCCTCACTTCTACTGAGTTCACTCAGTTAATAACAGATCGTTTTCAATATGCATCAGCAGTGATTTGTCGTTCTGGTGCAGCCGTACACTTATTACCAATTAATAGTCGAACAATGTCACTGTAGTACAAATTATTCTTTTACCAATTTCCAGCATATCAAATGTCATGGGTTCCTTTTTGCAAAAATACGAAATTAATTCCTGTTCGTAGCTTTCTAAGAGTTGAGAGTTGCCTAACTCGCATTTATTTTTCAGGGAAAATTCTTTGTGATACCGTCGGTATTTGTGACTGCCAAGCATTACAATCCAGGATTAAAACGTGACGCAGCAAGTGTATGGATTGAAGATGTCACACAATCATCCTGCAAAGTTTGCTTGAGAGAATTGCAAAACTACGCTGGATCACACCAAGACGTTGTTGTTGTAAGTAACGCTAATCTCATGCAGTCGAACGAACAGCGTTTTTCTTTGGAAGCTAAGTGCAGCAGACTGGTATCTTTCTCCATCTCATCTTTTCGCTTTTTTACGCTTCCAGCAGTTGGTCCAGCAGAGATGCACGATTTTTTGCTTGAAAATATATTTCCCTCCATCTGTTTCTTCTTCATCCGGCATTGTCAACCTGACCATGTTATTGCTTTCTTATAACCTAAGATGTCGGTGGCTGTTTTATATAAACCTTGCTAAGAGATTACCATTTATATTTTATTTTCGACGTTGACACAATCTTTTGGTAGTTAGGACGTGAGACTGAAAAAGAATTCTTTCTTTCTATTCTTATTTATTTATTTACTTTATTTCAGAATTGGTTAGCGTTTTCATATCTTGACGAGCCTCCCTTCTCAGAACACAATTCGATTTACTTTTCGAATGATAAACCTCCCGCGCAGAGTCACTATAATGCCTTCTGCAAGGTCAGTATTCCAGTCCTTTTATTAGTCTTATTGGTTTCAATTCCCGTCACAGTGCACTTAATTTTATTGAATAAATTTACTATCAGAGAGCAAAAGAAAAAGGTTGCCCTATCCTGTCTCTAGTGATGGTAGTTGTATTTAATCAGTTTAGCAGGCTGCCTGTCATACTTCAGTGAATATTTAAAATGAAAATGAAATATAGATTATAAATGCCCTAATGCGGAACAAGTCTTTACCTTTATATAAATGTCAGAGACTGAATTTTTACAATTATGTAATTTCTTTTGACAGGACGCTACTTTTACTAAAGTTTATAACTCAACTCCACATGTGTTTGTTTCTGCCAATCATTCCACCAAAAATGGAAGTCAGAGTCCAATTCATAACAGCATAGCTGAGTGGGTAGAGGTATGTTTTTAGTTATTTATTTAATTATTTTCTTTTATTTATTTTATGAATTTGTGTAACATACCACTTGCAACCACACTTACATGTGTTGTGTGCATGTTTAAAAACCTTACGAAAATACGAATGACTGTAATTAACACTCTCTATTTTACAATACAGATAGCGTTCTATTGAGAATAACAGCTTATAGAACACAAAACGTGCAAAAAAACAGCTCAAAAGTTAAATTTTATCCGTTTAACTAACGATCAGGAATAACCCTTGGCTAGTAAAATGCCCATGAATTATGGAAAGTCGTTAAAACTGTGTTTAAAAAAAGCTGTGTAGCTGTATGGCAGAAGGTAAGCAAATGTTGTCAAACAAACAGCAATGAGAAAACTAAAATTGATGTTAAGCAAGAGAGAATGAGCTAAGAGAGCGAATCTCTGTGCCCCATGATGATTATTTGAAATCTATTGAAAGTTCGCACGCGTGCGATGAAGGTTATTTTTATATGCTGTTTCCGTGACCCGCGCGGTCTATATACTTTCCCGTGAACGCGACATATCTCGCCTCCAAACATTTGACAGCAGTTGACCAATTATCGCATGAGAGGTTTAAGTTGTTGACATGTAATAACGCGCACTCAATTGTCCTCTTTCCTCTTCCCTTTGAAGCCCTGTCATGCAAACTCGTTGAACAGGGTTGATCACTTCTTAACATGCGTCAAACTGAGAAATATGGAAAGTCTTCTGGTCAAGACCTACCTGAACTGTTCTATAGTTTTTTTTTCTACTGGCAAGGGAGAAAATACGCCGTCAGCCGTCTGTGTGAACTACTTAATGAGCTGATAAACATCCCTTTCTTGCAGTACATCAACAAGACATGCTTTCGTGCTTGTGTCAAAGAATTATATGAAGCAAAATATGACCCATTGTCAGTAACGTACACAGTTTTGTCAGGTACTACTTCTACAAAACTAATCATAAACTTCAGTACTTACCAACTCTCTGAATAACAAAAAAGCAATACAAGCAATACACAAAAGGAATGCCCAAAAACTGGAGGAAATAATAAAAATTGCTTTCGGGTGATGATAAAAAACAACGTTCATCCCCTTTTCCAAATACATATTAATGTGTATAATGGAGTGCTTTATAATACTTGCAGTTGTTTTTGTCTTATGTATTGCCTTTATTTTGTCCTGAACACAAAGCTTCTGCTTTTCCATTTCCTTTTTTAATCACAAAAACCGGAAATAACAAATATGTTCGAAGTACATAACTGCACCTCAAGCTATACATTTTAAGCAATGTCACTTTGCAGTTCATTAATTCCTACTTTGTATACGCACAGACATCTGTCCATCTGGATGGGATTACTTTAATGGATACTGCTATTTAACAAGCTCTGTATGCGCACCTTGGGTGACTGCTCTGTCCAACTGTTCAACTATGAACTCACATCTGGTAACAGTGCACAACCAAGAAGAAAATGTCTACATTCAGCACCGTCATAATGGAGAGCGATCATGGATTGGACTTAATGACCGAAGCGTTGAGGGATCATTTGTCTGGAAAAACAAGGAAATAACCAGTTTTCGGTTCTGGGCTCCGCAACAACCAAACGACTGGAAAAACGAAGACTGTGTTCACACTCTGGGTGCCAATGATGGCTACACTTGGAACGATGTGTCCTGCGATAACTGCTATAACTTTACTTGTGTTCAAGGTAAAAGCGGTCATCAGGTCCGTTTTACAACTTACATTAAATGATCTGTTAGTTCTCACCTGAGGTAATCTTATCTTCTGCAAAGGGTTGTGGTTCACTTCAATATTTCATGCTAGAAATGTAGCCAAAACGACAGAAAAACCACCCAATGTTAGCGCGCATGAATGTAGTATCATCTTTCAGTCATAGTTGGTAGAGAAGACTGGTTACGAAAGCTGGCAAACGGAATCAAAGCTTAAAATTGTAACATAGGTGCTGCAGTTTATGTTGGTAGCTATCTTCTTTTTTTCTCACAAAATGCGAATGAATAAAGTTAGGCAATGTTTTTATCGCCTGTGTACAGACCCCCCTTGCCCTTTTTGAGGGGAGGGGGCGTCCGTACACAGGCTACGATTTTATTGGTGAAAAGGATCAAAATGATAGGAATGCTATTGAACTTTTCACAACGTCGGATGAGTCCAAAAAAGGTAACCAAAAAAAACATATATACTGGTACAATAAAGACGTTTGTAGGGCTTCGAAGGCACTCCACTTTTATTAACTATTTTTCAGTTTATGTTTCAAACCTGACCGACTATGTCAAGGTAAAAATGGGCTCGCGACCGAGCTTATTAGACAGTTGTTAAGGTGTCATAACGTGAGGTGGAAGCATTGTGTCCAGTGTTTGGTAAAATTCAAAGAAATTTCGCTTTTTCTTTTCAAGAGTTTTATGATGAATTCAAGTTGAGAATATCATTTCAGAAAATAAGCACGTAGCAAAGGAAATGTGAGTGAATGAAACACCGTGATTTCTTTTAGAAATTGACGAATGCACAACTAACTATCACAGATGTAATGTGAATGCTGCTTGCCAGAATACTGCGGGCTCATACAAATGTACTTGCAAAGCTGGATACTCTGGAAATGGCCGCAAATGTGTTGGTAAGTACTGAAGTTTGCTTTAAATGTCTTCCATATTTTGCCCTTTTGTTCGCAAACTGATCAACTTAGTTGTCCTTTGTTCTGATTTTATTTATAGACTAAATAAATATGCTTTATAGTGTATACACAGAACTGTTATGATTTTTTGTGGTCGAAACTTTCTAATTAGCCCTTAGTGGGTATTTAATCGGAATTTTAAGCAGTAAAAGAATATTTGCACTAATGTATGGAACAACCTTTTACACGAATTTTCATTCCTTCAATCGAAATAATTACGAACTTCCGTTTGGGGACATATTTGTTTTGACTTTAAGAACTTCACTGGTAATAACGTAAAAGTTTGAGTTGATTTAAAAAAGACTCGAAAATGAAAATTTCACTTTTAGGCCTCAAGGTCGCCCCAATTCCGACTGAAGGCAATAAAAAGCCCCCAGAGGTCTGACATGTCTTAATAAAGGACAGTCGAGAGGAAATACCAAGGAAGGTATTGCCTTCGGCGCATGAAATCAAGGTCATAATTTTGTCTTTGTTTTTCGAAGTCGACGAGCGTAAGAGCAAAACCCATATATAACTGTGACAAAAATGCGTTACAAGGGAGATGGAAAGAAGTGTAGAGGTATCTATCTAGCACTCTTTAAAGGTGGCTTTCCAGCGTCGCGTAATTTTTAGCGTAGCGGAGCACCATGGGTAAGAAAATTTGGTAAACTATCCATCCCAGAAAATTTGGTTATGACGTAGCGTACGTCCGTCCGTACGGACTTTCCGGGTAGTGGAAAGTAGAGATTTTTTGGCGGGAAATCGCATGGCGCAACGCGTTAACGTCGCGCAATTATATCGAAACAGAACTATTCGAGACTCCTATCGCGGGACCTATTGAGTGCTTTAAGCCTTGACTTAATTAGAGTCAGAACGAACTATTATGCCGTTTGCTAGGTTCATGTGAGGCGCGTCTAAATGTACTACATTTGATAGGATAAATAAAGCTGAAATAATGAAATGGCTGACAACGGAAGTATTTGCAGTATTACAAGTCAGATGACATGATCTAGTCTGTGATTTATTAATATGAACCTAAGAGCGCCGGTAGTTTGTTTCTAGATGGAAGAAAAGTATCAGTTTCCAACCGTGAATAATAAATCATTCGATTCCAAATACAGTAGTCTGTTTCCGAAAATCCGTGGATACTAGCTAATAAAAGAGGAGGGGAGCCGAAACTGCCCCAGGCCCGTACAGAATCTCCGTGTATTCTTTCTTTTCCTGTTACGACAAGCTGGTGCTGAGAGTTTTACTAAATGCAGTTGGCAGAATTGTTACAACCTTTCAGTTGAAGTCTGTAGCTAATTTTCTTGCTACAAATACCTTTACGCGCGCACTGACATCCTCGTGATAGGCCGTCATCAAGGTAAAGGCACTCTTGTCCCCTTTCATCCAATAGAAAGTTTCCACCTCTGGAGAAAAAGGGAATGCGTGTAAACCCTTTTTTTCCTTTTCCCATCCTCCTTCGAAAGACACATTGACATTGTTGTGCACTCAGTTTGCTTTTACGTATAACATTGGAGCGGCCAATCAGGATCTGTCAGAACACTAAATCATTAACTTAACGCTATTAGTTTCAACAGAGTTCCCTTAAGCAATACCCTGTTTCTAGTTGCACGATGTAATTCTATCTTTTTCAAACGCCTGCAATTGACAGCTCTGGCCTTGGCGGAAGGCGGGAGATTAGGAAAGGATTATCAAAGTAAAGTAAAGAAAAGCTTTCGTTTCCCCTCATGCACACTCTTACCATTAGAGCTTAACCCAACTAAAACTTCTAAAATTCTTTTCTATAAATGGCCAAATGGCATCTCGCAATACTCGTTAACAGTAGGGAATCTTCCCTCAATTGCGGTCAAAAGATTAAGGCATGACCAAAAGGTTATAGGCAATGTATTTACTATGGCCACTGTTAGTGTATTTTCCACTGGCTTCCCCAGACTGCTATAATTGGCCTGTTCTGATGCCGAGTCTCGATACTTAAACACGTGAAGAACCACTCTATAACCAGTGGAACGGCTGTAGTGATCGCAAACGACTGAACCAATTCAACCTTGTTTACTTTCAGTTTGACAGCTGAAGCTGACAGAGTATTTTGTCAACTTGTAATGTTTTTTACTGTCTTTTTCCACTGGATGCTTAAAATGAAATACATGCAGCTGCTATCAACAGTCTTCTTTGATTCATGGCTGGTTTGTTTATTGAATTTTTGGTCGGGAAATGCGCCGGTTGCCAAAGTTGGAAATCCGATTTCGGATGCATCGCTTTCGTTTTTACCTTGCTGGATGGGGGTTGAAAAGTCCCTCAAGCGATTCTGGCCTTACTTTATAGCCTTCAAGAGCTGCATCTCGAATGGTAAGCCTAAGCAATTATTGTATACAGTGTATGTTTGTTTTTTTATATCTAATTTCATGAAGTCGAGCGCAGTTTATGAGGCTAATTTATGCACGTTTCTACAAAGATCTGAGACAATGATCTGATCTAGTATATATAAGCTTACAGAACTTTAAAAAGCCTTTAGTCGATATTTTCTCTCCGCATATAGAACGAAAAAACGTTCCGAAGAGTATTTAGTTATAATTTTGGCTGTAGAAAGAAAGCTTTGAGCGATTTTCTTGCCTCGAGTTCATCTTTGAAAACAGTAAACACCAGGAAGCCGGCTAAAAGCTTTAAGCTTAAGCTTAAAGACTAAGGATTTTTAGAGACGCTTTAATACTTGTCCTCGTGAATAAAAATTGTTGTCTCTGTAAATGTTTCACCGAATTACATTTCTTTTATTTATTGTTAGTAGTCTCTTACAATTTTAATCGCTCTGCCGTTTGTTTTCAGTCGTTCATAAACAACGCTTGCCGCAGAGTACTCAAAATGCTGCTCGTATCAAACGCTTTTTAAGATTACACATCGTTATAAAACCATTTAATAAAAAAAATAAACACAATAAATTCTTTATTATGTTGAAGCGCGTAACTCTTTTAATGTTCACTGAAAATTTGGCGCTTGTCAAAAGTGAGAACCGGCTGGCCGTATAGGTGATTTTGGAAATTTTTGGAACGGTTTTGCTAAAAGCCCACGCGTGCTTCGTACGGTTCTGAATATTGAATGAGTGCAATTTGTCTTGAAAAATTGTGAAATACTGCATTTTGTGTGAGGTCTATATGATAAAAACAACGCCTCATATTACTGTTTCAGATGTGATGTATAAAAAGTATGAAATGTTGGTTTACACGCTCCCAGAGTTGTTGGCAAGATTTTTAAGTAAACTTGTCGAACGCAAAAAATTCGGCCTGATTTGTTTTCCAAAAATTCGTTTTCCAGGCCTAATCTACAGTGATCAAGAGCCATTATGGCTCTAAAATGTGATCGAAGATAATTGCTATTTTTTGGGTGTATATATACGGCTATCAATTCGATGTAAGATTTTTTTTTCACTCTAAAATCACTTAGCCTTAGCTTTCCCTTAATTGTTTGATTTGTTTGATTGTTTGATTTAAATTATAAATTTATTAATGGGAGCTTCGCTTTTAGCCCTGGCTAAATCTATTTATTACGTGCGTAGGCTCTTTAGTTTTAAGTACGTATATAAAATAACGGCTATGTATCAAAGGTTGTGCGTAAACGTAAAACTTGAACCTCGCTCAACTTTTACACGCGGCCTTTCATACATTGCCTCCAGGGCCCTGACTGCCTCTTTTATATTTACGCGCGTACATTTTACTTGCGTACGCACATAAATATTACGCGGAAGTGGAAATCCACCCGAAGTTCTTAATCACCAAACGATAGTTTATACATCCAGCACGTGCGGTCATTCCATTGCTTGTATTTATTCTCCTTGGCACCGGTTGTTCAAACGTTAGATAGCACTTTGCATCGGATAAATCACTACACAGTGGATACGTACTGGGGAAACTAACTGCCCTATCTACTGGATGGTGATTTATCTAGGGGATAGCGTTATTCACCTTTTGAACAAATTGTCCAGGTAATTCTATAACACTACCATGGCCACACAAGCCATCGCGTTCATCTGTAACGTAGATTTGAACGGGTAGAATGTAAAGGAAGAATTATCAGTTTACTTGCCTTGTAAACGTAAAATAAATGCAATTTTATGATTTTCATGTAGATATCGACGAGTGTACAAGCAAAATCCATAGCTGTGACAGAAATGCGTTATGTAAGAACACTGAAGGGTCTTTCACTTGCACCTGTAAACCTGGTTACAAGGGAGATGGCAAGAAGTGTAAAGGTAAATATCTCAGTAGAACACGCAATTATTGCATTCTCTGCTTTTAATTTATTAGACTGAGGCAAACAAATTTGTCGTGGATTCTTAGCTATGAACTGGAATTAGCCTAGAGTACAGGTTTAAGCCAGGGAATCTGTTCACATGCATTATTATTTTTAATGATTTTCCTCCCTGGTAGCCTCAACTCCAAGTTACTTCCAGCAACAGGAATCACTGCTCTTCTGAATGAATGAAGCAAGATCCGGGAAGCCGATTACCTGTATTATACCATTTTAAGTCTCTTTGAAAACGATTGCAGGCGCATTCTTCACAGTAGATCTCTAATGTTGATATCTATTTTGTTGTAGCGATACGATCCTGCAAAGACATCAAGGACCTAGGTATCTCCAATGGCGACGGGGAGTACTGGATTGACCCTGGAAAGACTAATAGTCCTTTTAAGGCATATTGTGACATGACAACTGACGGAGGTATGGTTTTAGTTGAAGCTAGGGAAAACCCATTTTTTTCTAAAGTAACTTCAGGAAATTCTCAATACCGAAAAATATGAACAAAATTCACACCGATAATTTAGTCCTTACTTGTAACAATAGACTTTGTATGACAATTAGGAATTATTGGATGAGGTTGAGGTATCATCCGAAAATTATGCAGATCGAGAAGGCCTTCGGCCTCGGCGGATAACACCCCAAATGAGAGTATCCGGCTAATGACTTCGATGGTACAGGCTATCGCCAGACAAAAGGGACAGAAACAGAGAAGCCCGAGTACGAGTTACCTCAGTTGTTTTAGTACTGGTAGAGAATTTTACTGGTTTTGCGAAGAAAAAAAAATACTTGATCTACTACCTAAAAACATAGCAAAAACAGCAAAAGTACATCTCATACTTGAAGAATATCTTCAAGACTAAGAATCCCAGTGGATACTGAATTTGCCGAGGAAAAGACACGTGAAATCCATCAGTTTATCAATTCTTCTTGTAACTGTCAAGTGTTACCATGGAGAAGCTGTTTGAATGAATAATAAGCCTCGTTTTAGTATCAACTTCAGACTAGCACCCGCCTAGCGAGTCACGAATTTCTTAGTCTCGGGTTCTTAGTTCTGTACAGCGCCGCCAACGATTCCCAAAGTAGACCGCAAATGATCCTCAACCGTAAATGATCCCCATTGTCGACCGCAAGCGAGTGAAAAGTAGAGGACTGGAATACTGTTTTAGGCATGGATGGTGAATGTGCTGAGAATTTGCACATCGCGTAGAACAATGAATAAATACAATTGTTTCGTTTAGTACAAAATGTATTTTTTTCTCATTTCGTTATTCAAGCATTTGATGTTTCGTTGCTGTGGAGATTTAGGACAGGAAGGACTTTAAGAAGGAAATGTTTCTTTCATTTTAACGCTTAGAAATAGGGAAATATGACCCCGGAATATTACCCCTGTATTTATCACTCTGTACAGGTTTTTGGTTTATTTCGAAATACGCTTAGTAAGTAAAACTCGTGAAAATGTTGTGTCTAGTGGTAAGGACCCTGTCGGCGCAAACCTGTGTATTCATTTTCCGTGTCTATGCTGCTGGAAACACAGACAGTTACAACATTAGGGAAACAGAAACGAAGGAACGATTTAGTGGAAAATCTTGTACCGATGAGCAAAGAATTATCTTAATGGGGCTCAGTGTACTAGAGCGAGCTTTTATCTGGGGTCGTTTTCAGAGACTTTCGCCATTACAAAAGTTATCATTTCCTAAAGTTGATACGAGGCAGGGTTTGAGCAATTTCTTCTTAAGAGTATTGCATCTAATTGAACTATAGTATGTGAAGTTTAGTTCAGTGAAGCATTAATGTTAACCAGCAATTAAGCAAGAGCTATTGTTTTACTGAGCATTTAAGTGTTTCCTTTTTTTTGCTTGCGTTTATTTATGTTATATTTACGGTTTCTTATATTTTCAGTCTTGGCATTTATTTGTTAAATTTATTCAGTTGAATTTTTAATACTTTTGGTGCGATAATAAACGTGACACAATGACCCAGTAACTTAAGTCCAGGCCATTCTGATTTTCCTCTCGGGATCATTTGCGGTCGACAATGGGGATCACTTGAGGTCGAGGATCATTTGCGGTCCATTTTGGGGATCATTTGCGGTCTGAGGATCGTTTACGGTCGGAATCAGTTGCGGTACTGTACAGTTCGCTTGAGTTATATTTAACAATGATTAAGCCCACGGTGAGTTTCCGCCGTGTGAATTATTTTGAACTAAACATTACTGCTTCTTTTGGCCCACATGACTGATAAACCAATGATAAACATTTATCGAATTTCAGGGGGATGGCTTCTTGTATCCAACGTTGTTTCGCACGGTTCTTCGACGACTCAGTTGCCAGTTAAGACATCGTACCGCGGAGTAAGCAGCAAAGAGATGTTACTCACAAAGAGTGCCATGAAGGAGCTGAGGAAGCACTTGCATTTCACTCAGATAAGATTTTACTGCAAGAAACGAGGAGGTCGTACATTTCACATCACCACGGCTGCTAACAGGAAAGGTGAGGCTGCTGTGAAATACTTCAGTGGTGAGACAGATGTGATGCCCGCCTCTTGTGGCTCGTTTGTGATCATGAGCGATGATAACTCGCGGTTAGCAAGAGTCTGCAAGGATTGGGGATACCAAAGAGGTTCTTACAAAGTTGGCAAATGGGGGCACGAGAGAGATCAGAACAGATTATACGACCACCCTGCTTTTAAATACTCAGCTTACCACTGGCTTCTTCAACCGTCTGGCAGGTGGGAATGCGACGATTATGGTGTGGGAGTGTCACGTGGCGATTTTTGGAAAGTCTTTGTGCGATAGGAAGTCACCATAACGGAAGTCTTCCTCAAATTTTAAGGGTTTTGTTTTTTAAGGAAGCTTAATGCGTCGGCATTATTCAACACCAGGAACTAAGTTAAAAACTACTAAGAGGTACTGTATTAAATGGCATGGTATTAGATACAATAAAAACTAAGAAAGTAGGTGATTCAATAGTGTCGGCTTTCATTCTTACCCCCCAAACCATGGAAATATGCAATTTAACGTAGATAGCCTACTGTAGCCTGCGAAAACATCCGTTTCTCCTGGCTTTTCCCGCTGGGGACGTTTCGCGCGAAACGTCTCAAGCGGCGAAGAGCGAGGAGAAACGGATGTTTTCGCAGGCTAAGCCTACTGCAGTAGTCAAACTAGCTCCATAGCATGCTTGTTATTATATGCGTGTTCCTCGCCTATTTCCAAGAGGATTCTCCATTCCCTCCTTCACCGATCGACAGGACATAAGTGATGATCCAGATTGATGAAAAAATTCATAGTAAATCTTGCTTCCGTAAGTAGTTGCTACTGACCCCCCAGGATGGACTATCGTTTGAATTAAGGGACGTGATTAAAGTTCCAATATATTAAGCAGGCATGCCAAACTGTCTAGGGTGAACAGTGGCACGAACTCCTTAGAGCCACGCGCAAATTAGTTTTGGCTCGTTCCTCGCGACTTCACCGCTCCCATTACCGGAGGGACGGGGGCTACCCAATTATGTTTTATCCGGGGAGGCTCCGTTTCGAGTTTCAACCCCTTGGCCTTTGATAGACCATTTTTGGACAGAAAAGGTACCCCTTCCGTATAATTTCTATTGACAAATGGTGCCCCTTTTCACATACCTAGTTTAGGGCACGGCATCCCTTTTAACTGCTATGAATGCACTGTCTTTTAACCCACTCAATTACTCACTTACTCATGCCCATGAATGCCGTCAGGCATGTAGGGCGGCAACAAAGGATCGACACTCCTGTAGCCTGCGTAGCTGGCGGTATTGTGTGGGTGCGAGATTAAAGGCCGTCAAGTCTCACTCGACCATATTACAACGGCTCCGCCGCCAAATCTCACTCGACTACTACTCAATACCGCCAGCTACGCAGGCTAACACTACTCTCTGTTCTGGGCCAGCTTCTAAACGGTTCCCAAGGTTTGCTGCAGGGTCTTGAGCTCCCATTCCAAAGTCCAACTCCAAGTGTTCTTGAATAAAATGAATGAATAAAATATATGGATTTAGCCAGGGCTAATAGCGAATCTCTCGTTATAAACAAAAAAATGAAATCGTGTAATGCTAAACGACGACGGTAATGAGAACGCGGGCAACAAAATAAATAGATCTAGGGTGTGTTTCTTTACTAAAATCCAAGATCCGATCCAAAATCCGGATCGTTAGGATTTTTCGTTAAGAGAAGAAACGTTCTATTCAAAAAAGTATTATTATTCATTCATTTCCAAAGAAAGGACCCACAATATCGACGGTATCTCGGCGAAAGAATAACACGGCTGCTGACTCGTTGATTGTATTCTGGACGATTATCTCAAGGATACTGCTTTAGAAGGGCTAAATGAAGCACCGAGTCTTGCCATAAGATATTTACTGGAAAGGTAGTCTTGCAACACTCGCGGGCGAAGTTGAGCAGCAATTTTTTTCTTGTCAACTAGAACAATGCAGGGCCTGTTTGTATTGCGATTTTACCACCCCGATAAAACGGATAAAATCGATCGTTTAATCCATGCCTCGGGTTCCAAAATGGCCTGTAACTGAGCAGTGTTGTCAAAAAGCTGGGCCGGGTTATTCGAAGCCAGGTTAAGATAACCCGGGGTTGGTGCAAAATTTGAACTCAGATGTGAGAGCTTAAAAAGCCAATTCAGTTGAATTCTCTTTGCCTACAAGTTGATGATTGGATACTGTAAAAAGAATGAGAAAATAATCCGAGAGAGTGCTTTTGATAAAAAGAAAAAGAAACCCGGGTGAAAATTTAACCCCGGGTTAACGCTAACCGGCGTTCGAACAACTGGGCCCTGATGTATGTATGAAAATTGTTTCGAGTTACCGCTGGCAGTATTCACTCTTTTCGGATCTGCGGTAAAAAAACACTTCGGATCCTGTATCCAAATTATCCGGTTTTGGATATGATCCAAAGAATCCACCTCCGTTGTGGATTATTTGGATCAAAAATCCGTTTTTGGATTCTAGTAAAGAAACGAAATATCCGTTTTCGGATTAAGAATCCGGATCTGGATTTTACAAAAGAAACGCACCCTTAATTAGCAAAATAAACAAATTTGCACGTCCTTTGTGTTGCACGACTACATTGCCGTTTTGCACTACTAAAACGTGAAACTTCCAAGTTACACATGATTTTTTATGGAGGAATTGTCGTTCACCAAAAATGTTCTTGCTTGTGTTCCTGCTCGGTTTTTATTTTTTTCACTGCCGCTCATTTTCACCTTGCTGGCCACTACTAGCATTTCTCATTTTCTCACCGCCGTAATGAAATTTTCATGTTTTTCTTCCAACGAAATTCGTCGCCTTTTTTTTTAGTCACTCGCGCTAGCTCTTTCTCTGTTATCCACGTGAGTGTAGACATCAAAAATAACTTCGAAAAATACTCGACTTTGTTGTTGTTTTTTCTCTCTAAAAGTCCGGGTGGCCATGCAATTTCCCGCCGAAACATCTCGAGTTGCCTGTGGTGTCATACCTGTTAATTGAGTTATTTTACATTGGTATACCTGTGGTGCAGACGGACGGAGGGTCGGACGGGCGTACAGTCACGTGATTACCAAAATTTCTCGGATGGATTACCAATCTTTTTTAGGTATAGGGCGTTCACGTGCGCTTACGCTTCACGCGAGCGTGCAGCTTCGCTATCACTAAAGCAGAAAGTGGTTCTTGACTTTTACAAAGCCTTTAAAAACCGTCTGTTAACCTTTTTAGTCCTTTACACACCGAACAGGAGATTTCCTTACCCTTCCATATACCTCTACTGGTGAAATCCCTACCCATTTCTGTACTAGTGAAGCTGAAAAAAGGTGACCCCTTCGGTGGAGCTTCCGCATACGGCTCATTCTAGGGCGTACCCCCCGGATCCCTTCTCACGCGTTCTCTCGATATACTGTGACTCAAAAGAGAAAAAAGAGACTGCTTTCAGTCTACCAACTCCCATAAGCGACTGAACCGAAACACCAAATTTTTCCACTGGAAGCCCTATCGTTAAAACCTCTTGTAAACTACCACTATTTGGGGTGACGGTTACGTAATTTCCCATTACTTTTAATCTCTAGACACACTAGACACACTGAATGATCTGTAAGTTCGCTGTACGTAATACGCTACTCAGACTATAAGAAGAACTATTAGAAGCAACATGGAAAAACGCGCATCATAACCAGGCAATAAGTTCTCTTCCAAAAAGTAGGTGTTTCGGCACCTCTTCTCGAAAGAGACAATTGCGGTTTGATTTTCGTAAGCGATCCATTAAATCTTCTCATTTTGGGTGGTGGCCTTACGGATAGTTCGACTGTAATTGCACATTCCTCATTGATACCATTACCGCGTTGCGAAACGAAAGAGTGTTGTATTATTGATTGATTCATGTTGAAGCACTAGGAGTTTTTTTCGTGGTGCGACTGTCAGTGTACGATCGTGTGTCATGCGATCGTGTTATATATATTAAGCCCCCATAATTTGAGAAAGTTAATGTAACGATACAAGGGGGAAAACGGCCATAAAACGAGTGGCCCTTTCAATTACCCATATGGCATAATTCCCATACTGATATGTACCTGAAACCTGTAAAAAGTACCGGGCCTTTTCGGACAGAGCCTCCCCATATGTATTCATTAATTGCGAACACTCTTAGTCTACAAAAATAAACTCTATTCTCTAGGATGGAAGCCTCTGCATTTCATGAGGAGTCGTTTCCATCTATGTTTAACAATTTCAAGTGTTTTCACAGATTAATCGATTTGTAAAATTTTCATTTTGTTACTGGATCCACAATTATTAATATATAACAATTATTCACCGAAGTGGAGGTGGCTAGTGGTAGCCACCGACACTGAGGTGAATAATTGTTTTAGTATATACTAAAACAGTGAGATAATTGAGCACAAAATGGATGATTTTCAACTCATTTACTGTTGCCAACGATTACAATTTTGGCGCGCAATGACCGAACGACCGCGATCGTCGCTTTTTCTTGCCGACAAATAAAACTTTTGAAGGCATTTGTTTAGCTCTTTCGGGGAGATTTCTTCAGAAGGAGTTGTGAATTCTTTTTGTATTTAAAATCATTCTGTAAAAAAGATTATTAAATTTAGTTTTAAGCTTATTTATGAACAAGTCAACTAAATAAAGTAACGCAAGACTTAAGCTTAATTTGCATTTGTAAACAAAAAACTTTTTCACCGGTTTTTTTGCATTTTGTTAACTTATATTTGAAACACCAAACACTTTCAATCTTTTACCGGAGTCACGGAATGACTCAAAACGTTGTGGAATCTAGACTGATATCTACTTCGAGAAAAAAAAGCCGATGAGTAAATGGCGCGTTGAATCGACATGGTGAAAATACCCTAAATTTGAATTTTTTTTCGTGACTAAACAAATGTTTGATCTCAACGTATAAAATGAGCATATTACAGGTTGGGTTAACCGTGACGTTTTGTATACTCTTGACTGCCTGATGAAATGACTACACTACGTCCGAAAATTAGTTCTGACAAAGAAAGTTTAAGTTAATTTTTCAGGCTATCAGCCTGTCCGACAAAGTTAAGACGAAGGTTATTCTTCGTTTTATTACAAAGTTCTATACAGAGATATCAGGACGTAATCATGAGGTGAGTGGTATCTTGAGGGACAACCAACCGTATAACTGTGATTTTCACTGCTTATATTAGTTCTATTGACGATAGAAATGAACGACATTTATACCTAATGTAAAGCGCTCATAGATCAAGGAGGTTTTTTTGCAGCGGTTTTCCCATATTTTCACTTTTCATACCGAGT